AGGAATGGGTTTCTTTTTTTAAAGAAAAAATAAGGTAAATAAATATTTACAACCTTCCATGATTGGATGGGGGAGAGAGAGCGCTTTGACAAAGTATAGTGGTGGTTGAGATATATAATTAAAATCATAATGTGGAAACTAGCTTTTGGACTTTTTTTTTTCTCTAAAAGGAAAAAAAGAAAAAAAAAGGTGCTGATTCCAAATCGTAGAGCTCAGCCTAGGATGCTGATTGGTGCTTTTTTTTTGGTGCAAAATAATTCTTTGAAAATAAATAATTCCAAAATTTAAAAAGTTCCAGCCTTTCATGATTCCATAGGAGACCTAAAGTTGGGGCTATTGCGGCTGGGTTGAAAACTATTTTATTTGGATCACTGTTTTTCAACAAAAAGAAAATTAAATTTTCTTTCTTTTTTTTTAAAGTACATTTTAACAAATAACTGGAAAAAAAATTGTTGATCATCAACAATATTAACTTTGAAAGTCATTGAATCACAATTTTTAAAAATAATTTGTTAAATTTAAAGTGACATTTTTGGAATAAAGTTGAATGAGAAAAAGAAAGATATATGAGGAGATTGGTTTGGATGAAGATTGAGATTGTGGCACTTCAAGAAGTCATAGATATGAGTTCAAGAAAAAGTGTCTTTTTATCTCTGTTTCTCAAGGTGCTTTTGTTGAGAATGAAAGACAAGAAAGGGTTCATATTCTCATGACCGTTAACCACTCACCTTTAATCTCTCTTTTGATATGCTTCAAAATATTACTTATAAGAAGCGTTGTTTCTAATTAATTGTATAGAATTTATTGTTTCGTCGAACTAACAGAAATTAGTTTTATTTAATACGAAAAATTAAAGAAGAAAAATGGTCTAATTACAGAGTTTGTCCTTACTTCTCAAATATTATATTAAACATATGAATTGTTAATAAATTTTGAGTCATATATAATTTTATTGGATCCAGATTTTATCTAATAAAATGTGTTTGGCCCTCAGCAGTACACAACCCACTTCACTAGATTTGGATAATTATAGGAGGAACCTCGAACAAAGAATCTCTATTATGATATTATGTTAAGGATGAATAAACTACCACTCAACCTAAAAGCGATTTGGTAAATTTAATGACTTATAGTTTAACAAAAAAGAAAGTTTATTTGCAAGAGTGGGGTATGGTAACATGTGTATATATATATTTTTAAGCATATGATAGGAACAATTCTTTTAGAAATTTAAAAGAGATTAGTTGCACTTACAAAGAAAAAAAAATTGATAAATACACATTAGACGAAGGTTGTGTGTACTTCTCAACAAGGTTGCGTCCACTCCTCTAAGAAGTGTTTAATAGATCTCTAACTTTTAATTTTGTGTTAAATAGTTTATTGAAATTCTAAAAATGTCTAACAAATTACTAAAATTTCACTTTTGAATTTAATATGACCTGTACTTTTTAATTTTGTGTCCAACAAGTAATAAGTCAATAAATTTAAAAAAAATATTTAACAGGCCAGGATTTTTATACATAAATTTAAAAGCTTATAGATCAATACTCGAAAGTTTAGATACCTATTAGATAATTTTTAAAATTAAAAAATCTATTAGATACAGTATRATGACTAAAATTATAATTTAATCTACATRTGAATAAGACAGGTGAAGTGAAGAATGTGTTTTTTTATTAAAAAAATATATTTTAGGAGGCTCTAGACATTTACTTTATTTTAGTTAAAAAGTACATATTTTATACATTGGTAAATATTACAATCTTCTTATAAAAACTCACACTTGTTTAAGTAGAGAAACTTTGGAGGCCAACATATTTTATTCCCATAGCATCCAAACAAACAACAATTTTCTGTGCACATGATAGTGAAATGTTACCGCCTCATACCGTCCCAATCATATATAGCAAACTAATAATCAAATATCAACTACTATAGTAAGTTTTAAATTTCCTCTGATAGATCTTAAAAAGTTTATAAATTTAATTATTGTAGAATATCCTATACGATTTAATTTATTTGGTTAATATTCATATTATATATTCTCAAGTATACATTATATTTTTTTTATCTCGCTAATAAATATTTTAAAAGACTCTACCTCCATCTATGTGGTACTAAAATTTTTTAAAAATAAAAATTCTCTTATACTTCAAAATTTTCAATGAAATCTTTGCCGAATCATACTAACAGAATAGTTACATGACATCAAAGATACAAAAAACCAGTAACAGAGAGAGCTGGTTCTCCCTACACGTGGCAGTGAATTAAACACCGCATAAGCAAACGGGTATGTTTTTTTAACGCCACGTCACAAGATTTGGACGGTTCCATAATAATTTATCTCCATGATTTGATTTGATTTGATTTGATTTTCGTCTGAGTTCCATGATTATGATTTAATTAATGCCAAAATCACAATTTGCTTTTTTAAGTTAAAATATTGTTAATCAAATTATCGAACGATTCACAATTGATTGGATTGGATTGGAGGAGCGCTCAGCGGCAGGGGAGCGATATAATTGACCGCCGAATCATCATCGCCACTGCAACTTTGCATCTCGACGGCTGAGCYTTTTTTTGAATAGAATATTGGAAGCTCCCTATAAATTTAGACGAAAGGAGCTTTGATAATTGCTTCTTCGGCCTTACGGAAGAGGAATGGGGAATAGGAGGGAGAGAGCGAGATAATTTAGAGGGCGAAAGCCAAATCTGTTCCGATTTCTCTGTTTGGTTCCTAGAGAGATTTCAGGAATCTTTTGATTAGCAGATTTCTCCTGATTACGGTGAAATAATCGGTGCTTGGCAGACTCCTCGGTTCGTTTTCTCTTGCGTCCATTCTGTGAGAAACGGAGTGGCCTTTTGATCAGTCGACGTCTCGATTCCCCATTTTGTTCTGAATCGCACTCTAGCAAATAACTGGACGATCTTCGYTTTGTTATCCGATTGAAAGAGGAACGAGTATTCAATCTCGATTATTGGACTCAAATCATTTTTTTTGTTCTTTTTTGTTGTGGTTCGTGTTTTTTTGGAGCAAACAACTGATCTATTCTGGAGTAAGATTCTGACTGTCTGGGTCTGAAAGTGACGAATATTTACACTTTCCGAGCTTTGGCTAATAGTTTAGGCAAACTTTGTTTGGATGCTTTCTGGGTTCAGTATGTTATGMGAAACTTCGTTTTTGTTTTCCTCTAGAAATCGACCGGTTTCCATTCTTAGCGATTTCTTCGGGACGAGACAATCGGGGAGCACATCCTTGGTTGACTGAAATTGGGTTTGGTAATTGGAGATTTTTGGGGAACTTTCTTCTCTCCGTGACCAATCAGCTTCGGAGTTCTTAAAGTTCGGGCTTTTTGTTGATCTTTTAAGAATTTGATTAGATTTTTCCTAGTTTTTTAACATGACATTTTTCATTTTCCATATGGAGGTTACAGCATCAAGCAGGTTCCATCTGCCACTCCTTTCCATTTTGGGATTCTACCTCTAAATTCTTTCGGAAGAACTCTTAGCTATCTCCCTAATTTCCCCCAGAAGTCTTTCACTTGTCCGGAGTAGAACCCATGGCCGTGTCTTTCAGTCGTATTTCATGGTGGTTTCGGGGTGGGAAGGAAAAAGAGGTTGTTGCAAACCAGTTCTCTCCAAAAAATTCTTGCTCTGAGATTGGTGCTGGTTTGAAAGAACCGGAGAGTCTCAAGTTCAAGAGGGTCGATTTGCCCTCATCATCAAAGAAGGTGAAGAAGCAGAAATGGCAAAGTAGGAAAGAAACAAGGATTGACTGGGAATACGATTTTGTGATGGTACCATCCGTTGGTGATGGCATACAAATGCCCGACTCTGCTGATGAGGCCGATTGGTCCATTGGTTGGTTTGAGCCTCACGGTCCTAACTTTCAAAGTGAAGATAGTTTTGCCGTTCTGGTCCCTTCCTATAGCCATCGTTGCAAGGAGCTGGTGGAGAGTTCAAACGTGGAGCTTTTGGCTGCCATCAAAAATTCACCTGGTAAGACCTTCTGTTTGCGGTTCATTTTATGGAATTCTTTGTTTCATGTTGGCCATTAGTTTATGAATTTGTTTCTCACCATGTTAAAACATAGTCTGTTGCTTTGTAATTCTACTTTGATTACTGCTGCAATTGGGAGATTGAAGTATTGGATGGTTTTTTGGAGACATGATTCTTGAAATTCGAGAACACATTCATTGGGGGATGTTTTGGAGCTTTCATAAATAAAGGTAGTTCGTGTTTGTAAACAAAACTGATTCTTACCAATGGCTGTACTGGTTGAGGGTCATGATTTTCAAACTTAGAACAAGTGAAAACAACATTTAACAAACATTTACACATGTTTTTCTTTTCTCAAAAGAGCTCCCTCCCAAACATCCTCCCAAACAGCTTCCATATGTTATCAATTATTGTGTTTTCTTCATAGTCTGCATCTGCTAGAATCAAGATTTGGTGGATGAGTAGCTGCTAGCCTGAAATAAGTCAATGAATCTCTTGTTTCAAAATCAGAGACTAAAACTTTTTTAATCTTGTGCTGGAGTCTCTTAGTCATGCTTTGTGTGCTTGCATAAGTTACTATACTATACTAGATTTCATGACTTGAAGGAAGCAACATCAGACAACTTTTGCATCATCTCACCAAGTATATCTTTGGACAAGCATCAGATTTTAGGTTAAAATGAAAAACCATGGACCTAAGGAAACATTGCGTGATGGAAGCTGGTCGTGATAGATTTTCAGCCAAATTTCTTCATCTGGACCTCTTAAATGTGCTGTTTGGTAATTTATTTTTTTTATGGAAGTTTCTGTTCAAGTAGTAATTTTCTATACGTTCTTTGAGGAATCAACCAGAGTCTGTTGTTTGTTTCTGAGTGTGTTTGTGTTTCTAAACCATGCTTCAATTTTCATCCTGGACTCTGTTTAATGATCCGGCCATCATCAAGGAATAAGCTTTTAAAGTTGCAGAAAAATGACTGGCGTTACAATTCCTTGGAACTATAGTCAAGAGTCCTCAGATGTAATAGCTTGATGACCAGTATGTCTCCAAGCTGATAAAGCTAAATCCTTTAAACTCACTTTATTGTGCTTTAAAAAAGACCTGTTGAGAGCGAGTGTTCTTAATCTGAAAAATTAAGTAGAGATCTCTATCCCAAAGATGACGACTTTTCATTCTATGTTTACTTAAAAAACGAAGGGGAAAGGCAAAGAAGAAAAGCTTTCTTTAAATGGTTTTGCAGCTGATKAATATCTTCGACATCTAAGTTTGAATGTTTCCTTATGCAGAGAGCAATAACTATATGGAACAGTGGCTTTCTTCCCTGCAAAACTCAGAATCCTGAAGCGCGCTGCTGCTTCTTTCTGGTTTCGAGCGRTGAAAGGTGTGAAAAAATACAGTCCAGGTGCTTCATTTCTGCAAAGATTATCATCATCTTGACCAGCAGTTGATAAGATAGAATAACAAACCCAGTTTTGTGCATATCATGTTAAAGATCTTTCTTTACATACTTCTATTTTGCAGATAATTTGATTGAAACTCTAGGAACCATGGGAAAAGAGATTTTCTTTCTTTCTTTTTTTTCGTTTTTTTTTCTGTGTATATGTGGTAAGATACAGCATCCATAGTCTAACTACTACTGTTTCAATTCTCCAATTTCCTTCAAATATATCTTAATGCAACATTGCCCTTGTGTAAATCTGTAATTCTCTCATATACTTGTTCATTCTCCTTGTGCCTTAAACTTCAATTGACCCTCTCATAATTAATTTGCAAAGATCAATGGTTGCATGTCCTGCTTCAATGGCTCTCATTGAATTATGGTGGCCATTTATTAGAAGCTATCAAATGCCTGCAATATATAATACGATATTCTCTCTGAAGCAGAGGTTGATTGATTATCTACAAAGCCAGTTGCAATGTCGAGCAAAACATTTTACATTGGGAAAGACAGTTTTGAAGGCAGATAGCAAATTGGGTAGTTGATTAAGTGGTTTGGCTCCTCAGTTTGGTTTAATTGAAACCTCCGATACCACCTTGGCTCCTCTTCCCCTGGCCATGTACAGGCCTATGTGGTGCATCAGCTCCTGCCACAACCAAAATCAAAATAACCTTTTTCAGTATTGTGCTTATTGGGAATTGGGATCCTTATATATCTGAAAAAAGTAGAGGAAAATATTTTTACAATGGAGTTCACAGACTTGAAAACTGAAGTAACATTCTTCACCATTTGGAAGAGTTCTTTTTTCCAACTCAGAAATCATCCATTGGAGATGCAAAATTCAAGAATAATTACTACTTTGAGGCATATATGCTTAACAGTAAGAACGGTGAAATGCATTCTTATTTTTTCATTTCCATTTAACATTTGATGAGTTTGACAATGTCTGAAAAATAGAAACATGAAAACTGTCTTGCGAATTATCCCTCTAATTGAATAAGGTTAGCTCTTTTTTTTTTCCTTCTTATTCAGTAGATATTATCTCTTATCCATTCCTAAAAATCTCTTTGTCCAGTATTTATATTTTTATCCTCTTTTTTATTTATGGCATCAGCACAAGGATGAAGACAAGYATAGCCATGTTTGCAGTGAGGTCCGATCAGCTCCATCAACAATAAAAATAAGGTTTGAGCAAATGAATGGACAAAAACGCAATGATAGGCTCTTCAAAGAAATAAAGAATAAGCGAAAAACAAAACCAAACAGTCCTTGTCATGATGTTAAGAGACTTATTTTATATGAAAGTAATGGATTAATAATTTAGATACCTGTGGATGAGCAATTGCATCGCCTAAAGTCTTGGCTACAGGAACTGGAAGATCAAAAGTAGCGCAGCCACCTGAATATACAATCACATCCTCTAATGGCGAAAGGAAACCGCGATTTCTTGCAGATAATGTCGAACATACAAAATCCAGCACGCATATGTCGGTGCAAATTCCCAGCACTAAGATCTTTTTTTTTTTTTTTTCAGAGAAGGAAACAGATAAAAAATTACTTCTCTTTAATTGTAAAAAATGAAAAAACGTAGTCAAATCAGAAGAGAAATTTGTATCTCCGATCGAAAATTGGGGAATACTCACGACTTTGATCTGATTGTTTTTCACCCAGTCAACGAAAACGTTAGAGGCATCTTTCTCCAAACAACCTAGAAATCCATCAATGCAATCTTTGCGTCTCAGCGTTACATTCGCTTCATTTTCTAGCCATTGCAAGGCTGCAAACAAGGAACAGAGATTTTCAAAATTGGCTGTGAATTGATCGCCAAATACTAAAGTGAAGATTCGTTTACGGAGAATTTCAAAATTGTACCTGGAACTAGTTTGGACTCGTCGGTTCCAGCAATGCAATGAGGAGGATAGGGGGGCTCGGGAATATCCGGATGATGGGAATCAATAAAGGCGAATATAGGCCACTTCTTCTCACAGAAAACTCCGGCGAATCTCACCGACTCCTTCACCATTTCGGAAATTTGCTTGTCGTGCTGTTTCGGAGCCTATAAACAAGTAGAGCCACGATCCAGTCCAACCAACAGAGACATTCAATCGGAAAAAAGAGAAAATCAATAGCGAATCAAAAGTTGAATCAAAAGCCTATTAATATCAAGGGCTAATTTGCAGAAGAAGGTGTTTGGATTAGATCGGAAGACAGAGGAGAAATCAGGGAATGGAATTACCAAATTGCCAGCGCCGACGGTGCAGAAGCCATTAACGACATCGACGAGGACGAGGCCGGTGTTGACGTCCCCGGACAAAACGAAGGACTCTTGGTCCACCGGAAGGTGCTCCTTCAACAATTCTACGACCTCCGAGACCATCTTCTTCTTCTTCTTCTTCTTCTTCTTCCTGTAAAGGGTAATAGACCAAATGCGAGAGGCGCCATCACGGACCTTGAAATACAGGAAGAAAGAAGGTTGGTCAAAAAAACGAGTCCACCTTTAAAATAATTGAATAACAATTAAAAAAAAAAAAAGACGGCAGAGAGATACGAAATTGGTCCAATTCCAATTGATATGCAATGTGGACCGTAAGATCTTAAGCCAATGAAATTTTGGATTTCGATGAGAGATTACGTGGCTGATAATGATAAATTAATTCCAATTGACTTTTGCCAATACCAGTTCCGTAGTCATTAACATATACTCATGTTTCTAAGGATGGAGTTGGAGGTACTGAAAATGTAAGAACAGAATAATAATTTGAAGATACMTTAGCTTCTAATTAACAAATTTTAATATAAATTTTAAAAGATTCAAGACAAAACCGAGAAAAACCTAAAAAATTATGTTCATTTGATATATTTAGTTATTTAAATAATAGTAAGGCTAGATTATACAACATGTGGAGATGGTGTTCGAATTCACGATCTCTTGATTAGATATATATGCCAATTATCGCTTTTGCAACTTGGTTTTAATTTTGTATTTGACCTTCGAAAAAAATTTGAATTTTATTCCCAATCTTTTAAATTGTTGTAATATTTTGTATAATTTATTTGTTTTAAATTTTAAATTTTGCCCCAACCCATCGTAGATAGTTGGTTTAATWTTTCCTTAAAATTCTAGAAGTTCAAATTTAGTTTTCCTCTATCTTTGCTTTTTTCTTCTCTTTCTCCGGTCCTAATTCTCAATCTCCTTTTTGTACCAATGCTTGGTGATTAAAAATAAAGCATAAATCAAATTATGTGATGTCAAATCTATTCTACTTCATTTTTAAGAAATTGATGTAATTTAATTAAACACCATGTAGCTAAGGTGAAATTCACCTAGAGAAAAATATATTAATTCATTATGAATTTGGCACAATTTCTTTGTCAATTATCTAGATTAGTGGTTGAGAATTTAGTTTAATATCTGTTCTTTTATCTTTCTTGTATGAAATTATGAGAAGGGACGAGAAATATTGCGATGGCTTTTTAATGAAGATTTGACATATTATCAATATTATTTTATCATATGTGATTCCGATGATGTATAAAAAGTTTACTATTAGTATTTAACAATAAATATAAGTAGGTTTAGTTTTTTCTTTTTTTAATTTTACACATAAAAATAGTTAAGTAACAGTTGCAACGATCCATTACCCAAATGAAAATCATTGAAAATTTCTACATTTGCAATTTTCTACGCACAACCATTTGCTTTGGGTTTATTTTCCTGAATGATTTTTTAGTTTATTTGTCTTGTTCAAGTCTCGAGGTGTGCGTTTGTTGTTTATTTGCGTTTATCATCTATTTTGTGATGATGTTTATGAGGTTTTTTTTAGCTGATTTTTTTTTTTTTTGTTGGTTCTGCCTTAATTCTAAGTTGTGAGATCATTTTTACTTGCCATATACATAATTTTAAAAAGGTTAAAAAACAATTTTGGTTTCGTTAAATTAACAATTTAATCCATGAACTTAACGATTTAGTATGTGTACTTTTAAATTGGTAACAATTTAGTCCTTAAACTTTAATAGGTAATAATTTAGTCTTTGTAATTTAATGTTGCTTACGATTTAGTCTTTATCGTGAAACTTTTTTGTGAAGTTTCTTATATATATAGATTGATAAACTAAAGAATGACCAAATATGTTTACAGACTAAAAAGGTTAAATTGTCATATGATAAAATTTAACACTTAATTTTAATAAATTTTATTACGATAGAGACTAAATTGTTACAAATTTTAAACTATAGGGATTAAATCATTACAAGCTAAAGTTCAGTGACTAAATTGTTACTTTAATGAAAATACAATGACTAAATCGTTACAAATTTGTTTTTTAACCTTTAAAATAATAATAATAAAGTTGTTCAAGGCTTTGGCATGCATTAAAAAATTGTTGTTATTTTACTATTACAATTTAAATAAAAAATCGATGTTTCAAACTCACAAGCTACGACCACTCGTAAAAAATTAACGCTGTTGAGTATTAAACTATACTCCTATCACAAAAAGTTCAAAACAAAACTTTATCTTCAAAACAACAAAATTAGCATTTTTGCAATCTATATCTTTGTGTATCCAGCGTGAGATCTAGATATGTGTAAATTTTCTTAAAAGATACAAAATTTATATAAAATATTTTAATTCTGAAAAATTAGAAGGACAAATTATAGAATAGCACAAAATTTTAAGTATTTCGTTTCTTCTTTCCGCTACTTCTGATTAATCGTTTAAAGTAATTGTTGTTCGATGCTTGCTCCCGCATTAGTTGAACTAAAAAAGAGAGAGAGAGAGGTGTGAGATTTACATCTTACTCAACATTCAATCATTCTTCCATAATCCCAACAAACCACATTTTCCTACGCAACAAAATACATCATTGTCTATATATATAATTTTTTTTTTTACTACTGAATCTTATTATTCTATTTACTTTTGTTTTGTTATTATTATTATAATTATTATTTCTCTCCTACGCTTCTTGATCTTCCTAATTTGCCGACATTAATCAAGCGTAACCCTCACACCCAACCACCGAATTAAGAAATCTAGATTCCAACTCAAACTCATTCAAAATAACCATTTTTCTAAGGGAAAAAATAATAAAAAAGAAAAGGCAAAATCAAAATAATCCTCCCCAAGGGCCAAGGCAAGACGACGCCGTTTCACAAAGGAGTACCAAACCAAGGTCCGGTTGACCATAAGTTGGAGAAGTCATACTCAGAAAAGGTACCACCGCAGCGAACAACATAGCCCGCCGATTTATTTATCCGAAGACCGATCTATCGCAGCCACACTATTCTCTCCGGCGGTCTTCGATTCTCATTCTCCGCCATGTGTAACGGCCACCAGCGATCTTTGTTCAGAGGTAGCCTTACTCCCTACCAGAGCTCCGTTCCGGACAACGGTGAGGACAATCTACGGGGCCGACTAGCGGAAACCGAGTCCCGCCTCGCTCAAGTTAGGGCTCGAGAGGCGGAGCTCAGCCGACTCTTGGAGGAGATGAAGCGATTAGTCTCTGTTATGGAGATCCTCGAGAACTACCTCAAACGACAGTACCGCGACCGCCAAGAATATGCGGTTCGTCTCCTCTCTCCTCTATCTCCAAAATAGAAATTCCTCTTTGCCATCGCATTCGCGGTCTGTAATTCAACCAAAACTCCTTTTGTTTACTTGTATCTTCGTTCTTTTGAATCTCAATCTATGTTGATTGTATTCGATTCGCCTCCAAAATCTATGAATTGTGCGATTTAAGAATTTGTAGTTGCCGGTTTTCGTTACTTTCCGCCCTCTATCTCACTTGGAAATGGAACCGGGGAATCGTGGAATCGATATCATTAACTCGTCAAATTGAAGGTAATTCCGAGTTTTCTGACTGGCGAACAAGATTTTATTGTTTCGTGATGGAATTTGAAGCAGTTTTCTTTAGTCTAATTAGGCATATTGGAGTTACTTCTTCTGGGATCCGCATGGGTTTCAGAAGATTGTGAGATGAAACTATTCGGAAAGTCATCCAATTCAACTACCGAAGAACATGGGGATTGAATTGTATGGTTTCTTCCAATGTGACATAACGCTTACAGAACGGACAAGTAAAATATATTATTGCTTTTCATAAAAGATTTGGGGAGTGGGTACAGATCGTGAATATGAACAGTCCCATGCCTTCGCCTGCTGGGCTTTATAGAATTGAATAAAGAAAGAAATAAATAAAGAAAACCAAACATGATCTCGTATATTTTGAAGTTTGGTATCTAAAATGCTCAAAGATTTTAAGTTTCATTTTGCCAGTCTTGGATCAGTGAGCGAAGAGCGTGATTAGGGGTGAGATAGGGGTGCTGCAACCTTAAGTTAGTCATGGGTGATGTATCGTGTCCTGCAATTATCCACTGCTCTATGGCTTCTAGCTCGTACGAAAACCCATCTGCTGCCACATGTGGATTCTTCATCACATCCTGCACCCACGTTAAACCAAATTGGGCTTAAAGAAAAATGAAATTACACATTTTTTTTAGTTGAATACACATGAAATGTTAGAAACCTGCAAGATGGGGCAGATGAAGATTCTTGGCACATCATCTGCGTCTGCACCATCAATCCCCCTCGCAAGCCTTATATTCCCCACCAGATCATCTGCTTTCGCCTTGATCTTGTCGAGTTCTTCCATGGCTGTCCCCAAGTCAACAACCGAATTGGACCCATTTGGAGTTACACTTACACATCTCAAAGCCAGATCAACAAGCCCATCAACCAAGTCCAATGGCCACTGTCCAGCCTTATTGTCTACAATCTGGACCAGACCCGCCTTACCCATTGTCAGTGCCTCCTCAATCAGCCCTGCCCAATTCCTCCCGGTAACAAGCTGTAGCAGCATTGCTCCAAAAGCCCGAATGTCCAACTCAATACCACATCCTTCATCCGATTCTGCGATCCCAAAAGGGCCAAAACCACCGAGTTTGGCAACAAGGTTTTGGTCCAGGAGGATTTTGGACAGGGTGAGGTTGCCATGAGAAATGGGCCCGGGCCGATGTTGGGCCTGGTGAAGGAACCCCAGGCCTGAGCATACCTCTGAAGCTATACGAATTCTGTCATGCCACGTGAGGGGGCGACATGTTTTCCTGGATCTTTTGTTGGCAGGAACTGGAAGAAGTATGTCACTTAAGCTACCACTATGCATGTAATTGAATACAATGCATTGGAGCTCGGAGCAGAAGCCCATCATGGAGATCAGATGAGGGTGACGGATATGGCTCAAAAGCTCCACCTGCAAACCAACGGCTCAAAAGACTCAGATGAAAACGTGGTTTTTGAGAGTTAAAAACAGGGCAGCTAGCTACTACCTTAGACTGGAAATCTTCACGAGAAAGGCGATTTCCTGGGTCGATCATCTGGATTGCAACTGAAGTATGGTTGATACGCCCTCTATACACCCCGGAACTCAATCTCATCTGCTCAGAAAAGCTATCGGTGGCTAATCTGATCTCTTCTGCCGTGTATTCTCTTGTACTACAGGACACTTCTGTTGACCTTTCGGCCATTCCGATGGCATCTCTCTCTTTGCAGAACTCAATTCTCCGATGAAGAATGTCTCTTTGTCTCCTCAGCTCCTCGGTTTCTCTGACCATTCCTTCTCTTGTTTTTGCTGTCTTCTCCAACTGGGCCTCCATACGAGATTTTGCTGCTGTGGAATTTTGGAGCTTGCTTGAGAGATCAGCTTGAAGTTCGAGAAGTGAGCTTAATCTGGTCTTGCTTTCCTCGATATCAACTACTATTTCCTGGATCTGTTCTTTGGCAGAGTCTAATTCATTCTGCAACTCTTCCCTGATTGTAGCCTCTTCTTTTATCTGAGCTTCAAGCTCTTCAGTCTGTAAATCGTGAATTATTTGTCGATCGTGGGAATGTAATACGAAATGAACCAGACAGAAGAAAGAAATAGCTTATAATACCCGCTGACTGCACAAATTAATGGCCCACTCCGCTTTAGCTTGCCTTTCAGCACTGCCCTTTGCTTCATCTTTCATCAACTGGATGGTCTTTCGAGCTTCCTCAATCTTGGTTCGCAGATGCTCAATTCTTTCCTCAGCATTCTGCCAACAGAGTAGGCAATCAGTACACTATACTTAAAGCAACATACGTGGTGCAGATCAAATCCCATATGGAAGATAGCAAAACATGTTCATTACTGGTTTTCATTTCCCCTTGGATTCTAAAAGAGAGAAAATTCCTAGGAACAAGATTATGATTTCTGTAAGGTTGTTACCTAGATGAACAAATTCTTAAGATCCAAATCATTGTCAGATAGGGAAGAACTATCATGTTCAGTATGTCAACCTCATCATAGACTAATGGTCCAACCTTGAGAAAGACTAGGAAGATTCTTTATTTAATGTATTGCTTGACCAAGAAGTAATATTTACCATATCTGAATCTGGATGATCCAGAATATTGAACTGGGTTGAAACTGGACTTTCAGGAGCACTATTTCCATCCTGCTCACAGTCTTCTTCCTGCAAATTCAATGATAGTAATTCTTCGTAGTAGTTCTCAAGTTCATGGACATTATTATCCCAATAACTTCGAGAACTTGAGGAATTTGAACAACTTGGTGAAGCAGATGAGAGACTCAAATTCCTTTCCGAGGAATAGATTGGATCATCCATGAACATCTTTCCCAACCAACCCTTTAATGAGTGCTTGGTACTGACTTTAGCGATCCTTACACCTTTATCATTTTCCATAATTCTTTCATCTCTGAGAAATACCTGTTTTCCTCCCCATATCACAAACAACTCGCAAAAATGGGCCTTGTTTCTGTAAATGTAAAAGGATCCACTAATTGCACTCTTTGATTTCCTACAGAAGAACAAGAATTGATACACAAGATGTTTCAATGTAAAAAATTAAAGTCTTACAAAATCTAATACCAAAATCTCAAAGGACTTTCTGCGTACCAAGATGAAGATTTCATGAACGTAAAACCAACGACCAAATTGGTTATTCTCAATTCTGAAACCAAGTCAACAATGAGCTCATGAACAGGTTCATCAGATTTCTGAACCTTGAGTATTTCGGCTTTTACCTAAAGCCATAAGGGGATTAATATTTGGAGCAAATGTTTAGGAATTTTTGGCAGGAATCAATTGGCGAGAGAAGCAAAAGAACCAAACCTTGCCACAGAAATCTAAATATTTAGAAAGTAGCTTGTCGATCTTTTCCTGCTCATATCTTCTCAGAACTTCCACTTTCTCCTCACTAACAGAACTCGCCGGGAGCTTCCCGACTGAAATGAAATAAGTAACCAACGGCGATTACAAGAATATCGATTGAACAAACAGCGAAAGATAATTTGGAAAAGAAAAAAAAGGCCACGGAGATTACAGGGAGTGTAGACATATTCCTTGGAATTGCTGTAGGCGACGTGAAGAATCACTATAGAAATTGGGCGAGACTTCCATTTCGTAAGAGTCCACCCCAAGGTCTTGAATCCATCGTGAAGATCATTCCCGATAGCAACGTAGACCTTCTCTGCTTCGGCGTTCATCGATTACCAATCGCTTCCAATGGCCGCCTCCTCGAATAGTTTCAGAAGGTGAAATGAAAGCGTTGAAGGCTGAATTCAGAGTGTTGGGTGGCGAAGGAATTGGAAGGGTTTTGGGTTTTGGAGGTTTAAGAGTGAAATCTTCATCGAAGGATGGTTTGTGGCGGAAGTTCAAAGTTCCGGCGAAGACTTTTTCTCCCGTCGTCGTCATCCATTTATATTTACGGACTCTGTCTCTCTCTTGAGGAGACAAGGACGGCCAGATGTTCCTTATTGTGTGTGTATATATATATATATTTTTCTAATTTCGTGGGGGCTTCAAAGGCGTTGTTTCGGTTGCTGGCATAACTTTCATGGGTTTTAGTAATCTTTTTTCCAGAAATTGTTTGGGTTAAATAATTCCTTGTGTTCATAGGGAATCTTGAAAATTTTAATGTTTTTTCAGCAAAGGGTTATTACTAATTTTTGTAGGAAATTTTAGAGATGTCATATTTCCTCTTTTTACATCTTATTTTCCTTTTTTAGTAGAAAAATTTATAAATATTGGTAATTATTTCATTCTTCGTTTTTTAGTACAATATTTAGATGTAGGGAGTCAAACTCAGAATCTCATGTTTGGAGGTATATGTCAATTACAGCTGAACTCTCGTTTTGACATTATTTACTTCTTCATTGTTTGTTGAAAGTATGCTTAATAATTTTTTTTTATTTAATATTCTCTAAAGTTTTAAACTTAGTACTTTGAGTTAATTTTTAACGGTAAGCAGTGAGAAGAATTTGGGCTGCGAGTTTGTGTTTTAATTTTGTAAATGACGTGTGGGGGATATTGGGAGGATGAAGAATGAAGATAGAGCCTCAAAAGTCAGAAATTGACTACATCTCAACAGATTGCCTCAAAATATGTGGGGTTTTTTAGGTCTCTTTTTCCAAGTTCTCTCAACTACTTTTGGCCCATTATAATTTTAAACCATGTTTTTTTGCTCAAGTATCATTCTCCCAACGGCGTTCGTTTGTTCGTTTGTTGTTACTATTTCTTGTTTCTATTTCCTCTTTTTAGGATTAGTTAAGTAACATTTCAATTTTTTGTTTTCGGTTTTGTAAAAATTTTGGAAACGACAATATCTGTTTGATAATGTTACTATTTCTTGTTTCTATTTCCTCTTTCTTAATAAAGAAAATAGTATGGCATTACCCCAACATCTATGTAAGAATAATAAAACAAGATACATTTTAACGAGAAATAAGAACCTCGTTTTTGTTGTGTTCAAAATTTCTATATAATTTTGAGAGTGTTTCTAAAAAAATGAGAAATGAGAAATATAAATAATTATCGAATGCTTATATTTCTTAATAAAACTATAGATGATAAACAAGAAAGGAGAACGCTTGATAACAAGACTCGTGTTTCTTGTTATTTGTCCAATTTTTTCAAAACATGAATAAAATCATTATTTTTATCATTCTCCACTTATAAAATAATAAATATAACATAAAAAATTTCAATATTTAATTAAAAAAATTAAATTTCATATAAAAAATAAATTATAATTACCAAACATGTTTTTTTTGTTTCTCTTTTCAATAATAAAAAAAACAGTAAACAATTACCAAACCTAGTTATATTTTCGTTTATTACAAAAATTAGTAAAATAAGAAACCAGAAAGAGAAATATTAGCCACAAGCTTTTAGTAGTGAGTTTCAAACAATTTGGATATTTTTGTTTCTTGATTTAATTGTTATTTATTATATGTTGGAGATGGAGTTATAAATTTTCTAAAAAGAGTAAATTTTACACTTCAATTTTTTATTTTAAAAGAATAAATTTTAAAATTTTAGAGAACGAGAAATAATTAATAATTACCAAACATGTTCTTTTGATTATTTTTTAATAAAAAACAATAATCAAATTACAAAGGTAGTTCCATTTTCATTTATTACAAAAATGAATAATAAGAAACAAGAAATATAAATATTACCAACAAAACTTTTAATATTGTTTCAACAATTTGGATATTTTATAGATAATTTTCTATATTTCTGTTTCTTGATTTAATTGGTATGTATTATATGTTATGTAATCTTTTGGTTCTAAAAATTTGAGAGGTGAACTCGAGAAAATCTTAAAAATTTTAGAGCCAGTTTAGAGAAGAGGCCATATATTTATTTAATATAATAAAATAAATAAGAATGAAAAGCATCTTACCATTATTGTTATATAAAGGAGGATGACTTTATTTTTTAAGAATGAAAAGATCTTTCTTTTTCATAGAGGATGAGTGGAGCAGAGCTAATATTTCTTAATATTGCTTCCGGATGCGATTAAGGAAGACTTTTAAAATAACTTATCGTTGATGTGACGTAATTTTATTAATTTATTTAAACATAACAAATAAATATTTAATTGATTAAATGATTACAAATTGGGAAGTTAGAATCCTACGTTATTGAACTAAAAACATAATAATAAATAAATATTTGAATTTTTATTTTTATCTGGTTTAACATCGAAACTTTAATTCTAGAAATTTCAAATTATTATTGCCATTTTGGTTTTTATATTTTTACCTATTATGCTTTAAAACCATGTTTTTATTTTTTTAAACAAGTGGATAGGCACTTTTTCTTTGATGGTTTTCAAATTTTTGTGTAGCAGGTGAATCTCCTATGCTTAATATGTTTGATGGGTTTGAAATTTTAGAGTGTCCAACTGTTTGTTAATGTTTGAGAAAAATGAGTAATAAATTACAAAGGAATTCACCATCAACATAGGAAATAAACCAAATTAGTTAGAGTAAAAAACTCGAGAGGGATTAGTAAGATAAAGTCGTAGTTCTAGACTTTTATTCATTCATTTAAAATTACTTTTTTATAGTTTCTTTACCTCTTTTCTTTTATTGATCAATGAAACAGACTAATGTTAAATTTAGTCGATAATTATTGGTTAATTAATAATCCCTATGAATATAATATTTACTCATCATCCTGGTACTTGCAACGATTTGTACACTTGTAAAATCGAAAAACAATATTCATAGTATTTGATATTTCCACACATGGCTTTGGGTCGAGGGTTGTTGGCTTGTGATTATCAACTTCATCTTAGTTAATGACCCTTGCCAATTTAAAAAATGGTCAATTAAAATTTTTGAAACCACGACAATCAGTGTATGTCTCAAATTGATAAGAGAGTGCAAGTGGAATCTAATTCTCTGCCAGTTATGTATCCAATTTTCTCTAGAGGCTCTTTTAGTAATGTTCTCATTTATAATTTTTATTACCTCCTTTATAATAAATAAAAATAGAATTAGAGTCTTTATTCAAGAATGATAAAACAAAACGAGCAATGAAAATAATTAATAAATACTTAGATTACTTAATAAAATTGAAAACAATAAACAGAAAATAGAATATCAGCTAGCACGTCCTAATTTAACTCGAACACATTTTTTTATCAAGAAAACTTTGCTTCTTTGTCGAGGCTTTTGGACTGGACGTGGAATTGTTCGAATATAAGGAAAGGAAAGGAGGAAACAGAAACACACGACTCTTAAATTACGTGAGAGTGTATATATATATATATATATTTTCCCTTTTTTTCCCTAAATTACAAACTCGACACACATAATGATTAAAATAAATAGATATTCTAATGAAGTTCCATATTGATTGAAAACAAAAATGAAACATTCAGCTTTCTTATTACACGGGTTACAGACCCACGAAGACTGCAGCTGATTCACATACGTGGGCCGTCGAGGCCCATGTTTGACATATAGTAACCAAGCCCATTTGGCAGAGATCCAAACTTCATCTGGGCCTCAGTTCAACCGCTCCAATCCCTCACGGGCCGGGCTGGATTCAGGATCCACAGTTAGGGCCTTTTCGAAAGCCTGCTTGGCCTCGTCTTTCATTTGCTTCCACTCGTAACATTGCCCCAAAAGACAGAAGCCTTTCGGGTCTTGTACGCCCAGTCTCACCGCCTCCAACAAGTCTTCCACCGCCGAGTCGAGTCGCCGTTTCCGATTCACGGCGATCTTCAACTCGGCTCGCTTAATCAACGCCTTCCCGAGTTCTCTGCCAGATAGAGACTTCAAGCACGGCGGAGAGAGTGCGACGTCGAGTGATTTAAGCGCGGAGCTCTGATGGCCCATGTGATCTAGGGCTAGGGCTTTCAAGATGTGAGATGCCGGATCTTTGGGGGAAAGGGAGAGCGCCGTTTCGGCTTCGGTTAGTGCTTTCTTCGCGTAGTCGAAGGATTGTGATTGTTGAGAGGTTGACCGTGCCCGAGCCAGAAGATGTGTTCCCTCGAAGAAGTGGCGGCTCGACTGGAGAATCGCGCGATTCTTAGGGCGGACCTTCCCGAAAGCTCGTTTGGAAAGTTCACGTACGGCCAACAACGTCGCTGCTGTTAGGATGAAGAGGGCTACTTGTATCATTGCTTCCGGCGACATCCTCTCTCTCTCTCTTCTCTTTCGCCGGAATCTGAAATCTTGGCTCCTGTTCCCAATCTATTGAAAATGAAAAACGGCGACCCCTGGAGAAATAAACTCAACGCGAGACGTTGAGTCACGCAAACGTTAAGTCAATATTTGTAACTAGTAATAACTTTTTCCTTTTTCTAATCAACACGCGCCTGTAGCTCAGTGGATAGAGCGTCTGTTTCCTAAGCAGAAAGTCGTAGGTTCGACCCCTACCTGGCGCGTTTTGCATATACATGTTCACACTCTTTTTTTTTCCCTTCCTTTTCAGCTTTTAAATTGATCAATTCAACCATATATTTAATTAAATTAGTCAATTTCTTTTCTTTTTCTTTTCAGCTTTTAAATTAACAAATTCAACCATATATTTAATTAAATTAGTCAATTTCTTCTTTTTTTTTTCTTTTCAGCTTTTAAATTAACAAATTCAACCATATACTTAATTAAATTAGTCAAATAATTAGAGTTGAAAAGAAATTAGGTGCAATTGCAATTATTTTTTCACGTAATGAATTATATTTTTTTTAACTTACAACCTCTTAATAAAAAATATATACTATTTATTGTTGAGCTATGTTTACTTTTAACAACAAATTTTAATTAATTGAATATTAATATTACTAGTTGTTTAATTTGAGGACCAACTTTATAAACAAAAAGATTTAAATTCTCTATTCAACCATTGAAAATTTTTAATTAAGTCATTCCATACAAAAATTACTAAATATTGTTAATAAAAACTAATGTATGGATGTATTATTAAATTATTTATCTATAATACATTATAACACGCTACAAAACCTAATAATTTGAAAATTTTAATACAATAGAGATAAAATTGATAATTTTAAAAAATTAGAAACTAAATTGAGAATTGCATAAATCAGGTAATATCTAGTATATTTAGTCGACATTATATTTAATAAAATAATTTTTTTTTCAGAACGAAGATGAACGATTTTTAGTCATTAACAAAACAAATGTTTAACATTATAACCTATACTTAATTATGGTTCTAATATCCGTCGACATGTCGACCTTTTCATCGACATATCCATGTTTCTATGGATTTGACATCGACATATGAGATGAATTGACATTTGTACAAGAACATCGACAAAATATGAAAAATATCAACAAAATGTCACTGATATATATATAATATTAATATTAATTATTTTTAATTAATTAAAAAATGAAAAAATATTTATTTGTTAATTCAAATATTTTGTACGGACTTTTAATTTTTCTAAATTTTTCATAAATATCCATAGACATAAACATACATATTCCCATGAAATTTAGACCTCGATATTTGTATCGAAATTTAAAATATTGCATATAGTAATGTCAAATAAAAATAAAAATAAAAATAAAAAAATAACATATAGCTTTTTCTGTGGGCGCGCGCCGGACACGGACGGCTTCTACTTTTCCGGGAGGTAATTTGTTCTCTTGGGATGGCTCTCCTCGGCGACGATGGCCGGGGCTACGAGCTAGCTCGAAAGCTCGAGACGCTTGGCGTATGGCGGACTTGGCTTGGAGATCTCAATTACTCCATCTTCGTCCCCTTTCTCTCTTCCACTTCCACATGGGAAACGTTCATGCGAACCGACGATTCAAAATCGAGGGCTCAGATCCAGCTACAACTCAGGGCTCGAGCCCTCCTCTTCGATAAAGCAAGCGTCTCTCTCTTCCTGCGTTCCACTCCCTCTCCTTCTTCGCCTTCTTATTCTACTGCAAATCCTTTATCCTCCTCGTCTCTGGCTATTTCCAAGCTCAATCCTAATTGTAAGATTCCTTTCGAGTTTTATTATTGTTTTGCTTACGGTTCCCATGTTTCCCGTTTCGGGTTGGTAATTGGTATTCTTGAGCTTCGTGCCATGTTTTGCAGACTTGCAGCTCCATGGTGACGATGTATATTTTACACTAGAAAATCTTTCAAAGGACGGGGTTCAGCAGCGGGAGGGCTGTGTTCCATCCAACAAGGCTTCCGGCAAGGTTCTGTTATGTGCTCCTTCATTGTAGTCTTCAAGATACATTTGAATAACCATGCCCTAATTAAAATTTATTTCGTCATGAAAAGAAATTGGAGCTGTCTCAGGTCTCATGCGTATGCTTGTTTTATTATGGCAAGTACTTAATGACAAATTACGATTAATGCTGACTTTATAATTTGATCAATTGTCGGATAGACTCCATTTTTCACATACCATTATCGCCTCCTGGTTTTTGGCCTCTAAAGGCACCATGCTCCTCCTTTCTGTTCCACATCCTGTGACGCTTTTGCAATTTCTCCTTAAATTTGAATTTGCAACTACGGTGTAGTTCTATTTTAGGCCTTTTTTCCCAAAACATAATTTTACCATTTTCACAAATAATAATAATAATATGCCAGTGAGCATGAGTGCATAACGGAATGATAACTTTCCTGTTATTATGGTTCTTGAACAGAAATATGATGAAGGGTTAACTCCCTTGATTCATTAAGTTTGTAGTCCAGTTCGATGTGGCTTTAAATATTGTTCAATGTTCATATTAGAAGATTTATAGATAGGACGGCATGTCTGCCTAGGCGGCATGCATACCTGCAGAGAGAATAAGAAGGCAAATTTGAAGTTTAAACTATTTTAAGGTTTATGATTTATACTGATATAACTGAGCTTATTTATACTTATGAGTGGTTATAACCTATATTTCAAACTGGCTGATCCCTAAAGTGCCGCATTCCTTACTTGTTGGCTGGTTATGCAGATTCAGTCAAAAGCAGCTCCAAGTGCTGGGCCAAGATCTAGAGAATCTGAAATTGGTGATTCGTCCCATAGATTAAAAAATGAACTTCCTGAAACTTGGTACAATCAGTTCATTGAGAAGTATAGAGTCAAACAGCCATATCGTTTGTCGCGTGGGAACAATATGTCAGACAAACGAACAGCTGAGGAAATGTCTTCTTATCTTAGATTACTTGAGAAACATAAGAAAAGGCGCATGGTCTTTAAGGACGATCAGCTGACAAATTTTGGAAATTCTGTCTCAGCAAATGCTTCAAGTTCTGTTTTTGATTTCAGTAACTCAGTTGAAGATGATACTAACTTTTTCCCCGAAATTATGTTTACTTTTAACTGTGTGCCGGAGAGTGCACTTCCGCCTCCTGATGACATGAAAGACAATAGAAAACTGGAACTTTCTGGAGTCATTGATACCTTGCCTCAGCCTATGACTAGGAATCCTGTCATGATGGAGAGGCTTGGTGTCAAGCCTGATTACCGGGCGAAAAGTGGATCCGGAGTGAGCAGGAAAAATCTTGGTCAAGAGCAATGTTTTCAGATGTCTCAGATGGTAATAGCTCAAATGCTGATGAATATGGGGTTTGAAGGTGCCACAGAAGTTCCATTGGAGGTTTTCTCCCAGTTCTTGAGTTGTCACATCTGTAAACTTGGCAGTACTTTGCGAGTACTTGCAGATAGTTACAGAAAGCAGTGTTCAGCAGTGGATTTACTCAGGATGTTCCTTAAAACGATGGGATATAGGTACGTTTGAGTTCGTATTAGTTTTTCATGAGGTTAATGTGTAACCAAGTGATATGAATGAAGTGTTTAAGGGCCAAACAATCCTCCTGCGACTAACACTTTTCACTAATTAATAATTTTCTCCATCTCCTTTCCTCAATTCTTCGTGCCATGCCTCTGAAGTCTTCATTCCTAGTTCCATCTCTTACCTATTTGCATAACTTTTGTGGCCTATAATTTTATATTGATGCCGTCAATCTGTTTGTCAAGAGAACAAATGCTTCAGAAGAAGGCTGGTATTTTAGTTTTGAATTTTCTGTACTTGATTATAGAAATAATAAGCTTGAATCCGATCTCAAAGTTTGAGGGTACTGTAATCTCAAAGAGCTTTCTTAGAGGGCATCTGCATTTATGTCCCGGTTAAGTTCAATCTACATCAAAACATTTCTTTGGTTCTTTATCCCATGCAGTAATTTTGGACCTTTGGCGGAACTTGTCAAGGATGGTTCCAGAAATCTAGCACGACAGACTCAGCACCAAGTTCATGGAGTCCAACCACAATTGCAGGCACAGCATCCGGGCCTTCTTCAAGTTCAGCAACAAGTATGTATACCTATATTTTCTCCTGCATATTAACTTTTGTTTTGTGTGACTTCCGCTTGTTCTATATGGTCTTTATTTTTCAGTCTTTAGTTGTATGATTTTCTCACGTAACTGGAGACATTATACAGTGAATATCAAATTCTAGCTGGATATTCTTCTACTGACATAACTCTCTTGCTTCCTCTCATACAGAGACATACAGGCCCCATCGTTGCTTAGAGCAACTACATAACTTTTTTGTTATTTAGAGCAATTATAACAATTCATTCTTTAATAATCCTTGCTTCACATGCCATCATTGTTAAAAAGAATTGATTGCGTCTATTGTGAATCTTTGAGCTTTGAGGGAGCTTGTCAGCCGGATCTCCACCTAACCATTTGTTAAGACCTTTGCATTATTTTTGTATTTTGTTTGGCCTACTCTACTCTCTATTACTGGTTAAAAGTTAAAACTCAATATCGTATTTTGAGAATGATAGAGAGTTTGTTGGATCTGCAGATGCCTAGACAAATGCATCCCCAGATGCAGCAGATGGTTCATCCCCAAAATTTGGCATTTCAGCAGCAGCAGCAGCAATTATTGCTTGAAAAGATGCGAAGACGCCAAGCAGCAACCCCACGTGCTGCTGGTATGGAAATGAACAAGGACAGACCATTGGTGCAAGTCAAGGTTGAAAATACAGAACTGCCCATGGATGGTAACGCCTTAAGTGCCCTTAACGTCAGACAGCCCCAGCAGCAAATTGCAATGCAGTTCCGCCAGCAGCATATTGCAGCCATGTCCAATATTCATGCCTCGCCGGTAAATCAGTTCAGGCAGATGTCGTCTCTGCAAATGCCCCAAATCCAGTCACCGTAAGAGGAACTTCAAATTTTAAAAAGAAAAGAAACTTTAAGCTTTTTAAACTGGTTCTTCGCTGAGCTGTAGCATTCTCATTTGTTTGCAGGAATCCTGGCGTCGTTAGGGCTCCACCAGTGAAGGTCGAAGGCTTCCAAGAACTGATGGGTGGGGATTCTTCATCAAAACATGATTCAGAGGAAGCTAGATTGACTTCGCCTTCAAGTAAATAGTATAGGAAACAATTCTTTAGTGGTATCCATGTAAATCTCTCTCAGTAACCCAAAATTTTATATTCAAAGCAACTCTACACCCATTATATTTATGAACAAGCACGAGTCACAGAAATGAAGAAATGAAGAAAATTGTAGTAGCACGAGTGTATCATATTCCCTTCATTCACACTCTAATTTGGTCTTTATAAATTATCTTTTTTAATATTGATGGACTCGAGCCGGTAGTGAATGGATGAAGTATTTATCTGCTATACTAAAAATTTTTTGCTAGGAAATTGCTTTATCAAGCTAGGCAAGTCAATGTGAGCATAGTTCATCGGTTAAGACATGTATATTTGATCAAAAGGTTATGAATTCGAATTTTCATTTTGACGTAAGCTAGACATGTTAATTTTGACTTTACGTTGCAATGCATATTTTTCTTCTCTTTATTGTCTTCTTTATTTTCGTTCTTCACTTGTTGAACAACTTGAGTAGGTAATAGCACCTTTGGGTGTTAGTGCAGGTTTGGGTGTTGACTCCTAAGATCTAGGTTTGAGCTTTTCTGAGTGAAGTGAAGTAAAAAAAAAAAAATCCTGAATCGAGTGTTAAAATTAGGTCATAAAAATGTCCATCAAACAAATAACTTGTTTTCTTRGTTCAAATAAGGTTATAAAGAATGGTTGGAGGTTCGAATTTTATATTTTAATTATTTTTAATAAGTTGCCTTAATGTCTTTCGGAGTAGTGTATGATTGTACATCGAAATATTAGATCCATCATGTTATAAAGAACAAAAACGACCTGAAACGAGACAAGGAGTTGAAGCTTGAGATCATCGATTGGGGGAGATCGGCCCGCGACGTAATGGGCCGGCCCAAAGAACGACATAGCGTCGAGGCAGAGAATGAGGAAAGCGACCGGCGGAGAACCAACCGGGCCGAAAGGGCTCGGTCTCGACCCCTGCTCAGCCCACGGCCCAGCCCGTGAATCTCCCGCCTGCGATCAACGATCCCTCAGGCCCTGCAACGCTGAATTAGGGTTTGGCTACGGAGGTTCTGGAATCATCTTTACGGCTTAGTAGTGAAATCCAACCCTGAGGAGGCAGGTTACTGATCCTTAGCTAACTATTTTCTTAACTCTCTCTCGCTAACTTAAGCATCGGAGTCCGTGTGACTGAGGTCACACCGGTTTAGATTTGTTTGATTTTGCAGGTATTGGTTCCCTTATCATCAAGTTTGGTATATGCGAGAAGAAGAGCCGGATGGTCAAAATCCACCCATCAACAATTGGCGCCGTCTATGGGGACGATACAGTAAAGCAAGCTTCGTCGAAGCGAAATCCCGATCCGAGGTGAAATTCCGATCCGAGGCGTGTAGAGTGAAGCGGCCGACCACTCGGGCGAGGTAGGACCGAGCCCTGATCATCAACTTGATCCGAAAGTGACATGAATCCTGATGAGAGCCATCAGTGCTTCGAAAAGAAGAGCTTGAAAGAAGCGGCCAATCACTCGGGTGAGGCAAGACCGAGTCTGATCATCAACTTAATCTGATCACCCTTGACAGGGGAGAACCAGCGTCGGGTCTGAATAAAGCGACAGACATCTCGGGTGAAGCAAGGTCGAACCGTGGTCAACGACTTAATTCGACCACCCTTGACAGGGGAGAACCGACTGAGAAGGTAGAATCGGTCCCTCTAACAGCTGAAAATCGACGGGTCAACATCAGAACCACATCTGTTCCTCACCAGCACATCTGCAGGCTAATGGATAGGTTGAAGCAGTCAACAAAATCATCAAAAGAACTCTGAAGACCAGATTAGAAAAGTTCAAAGGGTTGTGAGCAGAGGACTCCCAACATTATGGACCTACAGAACAACACCTTGTACTTCGACAGGAGGAACGTCATTTTTACTATCATTTGGCTCTGAAGCGGTAGTATCAGTCGAAATTGGACTCCCCTCCCCAAGGGTAGAGCAATTCAGTCTACTTGACAACAATGAATCCGTACAGCTCAACATCGACCTATTAGAAGAACATCGAGAAACAGCACGGCTACGAACGACTGAATACAAAAATCTTATAGCTCAATACTACAACTCGAAGGTTATTGTAACTAAATCTTCGACAGGACGATCTTCCTACTAATAACGTCTTCGACATTCGAAGTGATACTTGAGTTTTTATGTTCATTCTGAAATAAATTTCTCAAGCAGGGGGCATTATATGAATATCTACATATCTACGACCTGAATATCTACATATCTACCAATCAAGAAACTCAAAATTGGGATGGAGCTAGAAGCAGGCTGATAAGCTAAAAAGCCAATTAGTGAAACCAGGGAAAAGAATCCCGAGATGCTGAAAAAGGCATGTGTACAGGCCCAACAAGGTTGAACAGAAAACAGGCAAAGCATAACCAATCAATGAAACCCACGAGTAGAAAACCATATGGCAAAAGCCAAAATAGGTTAAAAACCCGAAGGTGTTGATTTAACTTGGGGTAAAAAACCGACAGAAGCCAAATATGTTAGAAACCTAAGGGTGCCGACTAAACTCAGGGTATAAAAGCCACTGGCAAAAGCCAAGTGAGTTAGAAACCCGGGAGTAAACCTTGAGGTATAAAACATGGGCAAAAGCCAAATAGGTTAGAAACCCAAAGGTATCGATCCCAAAGCCAAAAGTAAATGGTTTAAACTCATATGAGAATAAAACTAGGCTCAGGAGACTTGATTGTGGTCAACGAAAATTTGAAAAAACTTCCAATTCATGAATAGTATCGACAATCTCAAGGCACAAAACCAGTGGCAAGAACCAAGCATTAAAATCCAAAATTGAATTAAAAGCTTTTAGTAGAAGCTCTGTGTTAGAAACCTTGACGTTATTAGCCACTGATATACAATGATTTCGTGGTAACGACAAGCGACAAGTACTCTCAAAACAAAGATCTTGACACAATTATTCGTCTTATGTTTAGTGGGGGCCATTGTTATAGAGAACGAAAACGACTAGAAACGAGACAAGGAGTTGAAGCCTTAGATCATCAATTGGGGGAGACCGGCCCGCGACGTAACGGGCCGGCCCAAAGAATGACCTAGTGTCGAGGCAGAGAACGAGGAAAGCGACCGGTGGAGAACCAACCGGGCCGATAGGGCTCGGTCCCGACCCCTGCTCGGCCCATGGCCCAGCCCGTGAATCTCCCGCCTGCGATCAACGATCCCTCGGGCCCTGCAACGCTGAATTAAGGTTTGGCTACGGAGGTTCTTGAATCATCTTCACGACTATAAAGTAGTAGTGAGATCCAACCCTGAAGAGGCAGGTGACTGATCCTTAGCTAACTATTTTCTTAACTCTCTCGCTAACTTAAACATCGGAGCCCGTGTGACTGAGGTAACACAGGTTTAGATTGGTTTGATTTTGCAGGTATTGGTTCCCTTATCATCGAGTTTGGTGTGTGCGAGAAGAAAAGTCGGAGAGTCAAAATCCACGCATCAACACATCCAAATATTTAAAAGTTTTCATACGATTTGAAATATAAAATAAACTTGAATTAGTAAAAGACGATGAGATTTGGATGGAGCTTGTCGGAATCTTGCCTCAAGATTATTTTTCTTTATTTTATTTATTATTATAATTTTACTTATCTTTGTTGTCCTCTAATTTTCCTTCCGTTATCTGTCGTTACTGTAAATGAATAAAAAGTTAAAATATTATTTTGATCCCGTACTTTTTATTTTAGTTTAATATCACCTTTATATTTAAAGTGATCATTTTGATCTTTTATTTTTATTTCATTTATTTTGATTATAACTTTAACATGATACTTTCCTACTAAATTTTATGAGATGAAGTCATAAATTTGTATAAAAAAGAGTTCTTATTGAGTCTAAAATTTGTATTAAAATTTTATAAATAAAAACTAAATTTGTCACTTTTTAAAAGTATAAAAACAAAAAACTATTGATTGAAGAGTACAAAAATTAAAATAAATCAAATTTTTTTAATACATGAAATTAAGGCATGAGAGTTCAAACTTTCAACTTCAAGAGAAGAAGTAGATGTTATTTATCGTTAAGCTACGTCATGTTCATACTAAGATAAATTAAAATAAAAAAAATAAAAAAACCAAAAATGATAGTTTAAAAAAAAATTACTAAAGTTCATCCCATGCTTATTGGACAATTACTAAAATTGTTAACTGATGGGACGATTTTTGTCGTGATGCATGGCAGAGAGACCGGCAAGTTGCACATAATTAATGACTCTATTTATTATTATAAAAAAAATGTTATATATATTTTAGTAATATAATATCGGAAGGTGGGATGCCTCCAGCTTTTTCTTTAATCATGCTTTTAACCCTTACATATTATATTATATATTTAGATGCCAATCTATAAATATATTACTTTATTCAAAAATGAATTTTGAATTCTTCTCTACTTTCGAATTTTTATGAATTTAAAAATATTTAAAAACTGTATAACATAATAAAGATATTCTCAACAAATATAAATATATACACACTTAAAAAGAGTCATGAATTAAAAATGCAACGATTTCCATAATCTTTCATAAAGTGTAATCCTATTAATTTCAATGAGTAAGTTATCTTCTACCTGTTAGTGTAAAAAGAGAGATTTGAATTCACGACTTTTTAGTCGAAAATATATACCCTGAGTGTATGGTTGAAAAGTCTTTTTCACTTGATAATATCTTTTTCTTTAATTAGATTAAAAAAGACATTTACATATAAATAACATAAAATAAATATATACTTTCAAATATAGTAAAAAATAATTACATTTTAAAATAATAGTATAATCATAAATGTAGAGCTTAAGCTATACTTGGAAAAAGATGAAAATAATATATATTAAATATATGAGTGAAATTTCTCTTAAAAAAGGAAAGATGGATGCTACTTTTTATTAAAATATAAATATTAGTGATCCGATAAATTATTTTGTTAATATTATAAAATAAATATAAAGAGAAATGACCATGTTAAAAAGTAAGCTCGAAAATCATTTTCTTTTTTACAAGAGTGGGAACCAATCATCTCAATCTGAGTCATATAAAGAAAAATATTATATAATTCACATGTTGAAATAAAGAAAAGTAAGATTGCAATCTATTACTTTTTGAATAAAAAACAGTGTAATCTATTTAAATATGAAATCTTTATATTTTTCAAAAGAATTAAGGACAGTCAAATATTTATTGGTAAATTATTTTTTTCAAGCTAATAGTACCTACCTTCTATTTTTTGCAGGCGTCTCTGAAATTTGTACAGAAAAATACTTCGCATTTATTATTCAGTACTAACTTTTGTCCTTTATATCATGGAAATATTGACAATACTAGTGAGAACAATTTTTATCTTATCGAAAAATTTACCACTAGTTTAAAATGGATTTCATTTATATATTTTTTCTTCTAGGTTTCAAACATTCAATATTCACAAAGGGAGATAATATTAAAGTAACCTAGAAAAGAAAAAAATCTTACAATAATTTATAATAGACATGAACTACTCTTCTCATTTGGGTTTTGAGATGAAACTCATGAATATTAATATAGTATCAGAGTTACATCCGATCCAAAAAAATAAGATCCGACAAAAATCATTACGACTACTTTTCTCTTCCCAATTGATTTTGAGATAGAAATCCTATGAATATGGATAAATAAGTCCAAACCGAGAGTCAAATATCCTATTTTTTATTCTATGTTTGTATTGTTCCCTCTACCGTGAGCCACAGCCAAATATTTTACATTTTAAAATATTTCCCAACAACGTCACTTCCTCCACTCCATTATTTCGCCGGCGAGGATCTTCCCGATCGACCTTCCATGGCCGCCGACAAGAAGCTCCATATAGTAATGTTCCCATGGCTGGCTTTCGGCCACATGATTCCGTATCTTCAGCTCTCCAAACTCATCGCTCAAAAGGGCCACCACGTATCCTTCGTTTCAACTCCCGCAAACATCCGCCGTCTCCCAAAAATTCATCCCGATTTAGCTCCTTTCATCAACTTCATCAACCTCCCTCTCCCTTCAGTCGAAAATGTCCCTCAAAACGCAGAGGCCACCACCGACCTCCCTTACGACAAAGTTCAGTACCTCAAAAAGGCCTACGACCTCCTCAAACAACCCCTCACAGAGTTTCTTCGATCTTCCGACGCCGATTGGATCTTGTATGACTTCGCTCCCTATTGG